GTTAACAGCTAATCTCCCGAGGTGCCGAAAATCTGACACTGGATAGTTGTTTTTCTTTTTGCACCTATGCGCTTGCTACTGGAATTATAATATTTTTTTCTAACATGTTTTTATTTAAGTGTTCCTGAATGATTCTTTATTTAACCGCATCATATATTTTTAAGGTTTTAGTTTACAAAGGGATATTTGACTCATTTCAGTGTCGTGGTCATGATATGAATTAGCCCAGGCTTATCTCAGATTAATAAGAAAATTACTCTATGACACGATTATTTCTTTCTTATCTCCCTCCGAAAGGTGTTCTAATTTATTTGATCGGTTTAGGTGCTCTGTTACTTAGACTATTTCATTCCTTATCTTATTTTCTTTAAATTTAATTTGTGATTTACTTTTTTGCAGGAAATCGCAAAGTAATGCCAATTCGTAAGCAAATTAAAACCAAAAACACTATTTTTTTAGCTCTAGTTTTAAATTTTATGTTAAATATTATGCTACCTAGCACAAAAAAAGTGTCCACGTTGTGCAACTATAACTTCAATATACTTACTGTACTTCAAATAATCTGCACTTCTGGAAGTATTTGAAAATAAAAGTCTGGCGGGCAAAAAATTCCTTTTACTACCACTATCCAGCTTAGCTAGCGTTGGTAGTATGTTGCTCCAATTTGAACTGTAAGTAAAGTAACTGAGTATTCTTTAGTTCAAGTATTCAGTGCTATCTGAGGACACTTTCACTAAATTGACAAGTCTGACTCGTTTTACTGCGGCCCGGTTTAGCTTAAATTTTTACTCTGGCCCTTTTTTATCGGTATTTCGTTTCTTCCGAATTCTCACCTTTGTAAATTTTTTTCATCATCGTGCAGAATTCGATTATCTTTTCCTTTGGCGGAAATTTGCGGCCTCGCTTACCAACCCTATGTCTGCTGTTTCTACGAAAATCAGTTCTTATCTGACGATATTAGACCTCTATACATCTGTTTTCCTATTTAGTTGCTAGCTGAAATAAATCGTTTAATGTTTGTCGGCTTCTTAATTTCTACAAAGTTCTGTACTTTTGGTAGCAATCGCGGGGCTACTGTCTCCAATATCTCATTCCCATATAACTTGCAAAGTTCCACTTTGATTTTAGGGTAAATTTAACTCTCCGTCCTGTGTATTAACCTCTTTCAATGTTCATCTGCATGATTTATCATATATATTAACATTAACTGTGCAATTTTTTGAACAGATTCTGAAGACAGTAGTTACTTGAGTTACTGCATGCAAGATTATTCTTTACGTGCAACCCCTTTTTACGACAGAGAAAAGAGACAAACTTGATACAGAGAAATAATAATAATGGTTTTACTTAGCTCAGTTTATACGTTTATTTAGACAAATCCTAAAGTATCAGTTTGTAAACCACTTCCACTAAGCCTATTTTCTTAAGAATTTGCTCTGTTTAATTGCGATAGAACTAATATCATAGTGATTTTTTTAACCTTCGGTACAGATTTCAAATCAAAGAGACATTTTACAGAGGTTTCACTCATCTCTTTGCTTAAAATCTAAACTAATAGTCTCAGAATTTCGATCTTTACATCTTCAGAGAAACCGTAGAGTAATCTCTGAAGTGAAGTTTTCTGAAGTCAGTCCTTATTCTCGAATTAAATTTACCGACTTTTAAAAATCGATCAATGAACTGCTAATGTTGATAGGTTTTCTGTGAGAAAAATTCAGTTAAAATTAATATAATCTTACGACTGTATTGATAGACCTTGAAAGAGAAGGGGAGTCATCTTCTTCTTTGCTAACTGATTGGAGGAAATATTTTATTAATAATCAAAATTTCAAGCATTCTCTTGCTCTATTATCTTTTTATCAGGTTTTACGAAATTACAACTCGATTGTAATCATACATCACGGAAGCTATGTGATTATGTAATCAGATATTAAGAGAATTTTTTCAGATAAGCTTCATAAGGGGTTGTTACGTAGGATATCAATTGAGTGAAATTATGCATGTGTAAAATAATTGGGTACCTTTCGAAAATAAATCTATCATATAAAAAATTTCAACTGAACATTTTTAAAGGAAACAAATACTAAATGAGGAGATAGTGCCTATATTAATAGACTTTCACTAATTTGAAAAATTATGAAAACGGGCGTCTTTGTACAGGTTAAGGCTTATACTGATAAAGAAGGAGATTAGATATTCAAAGTGAGATAGCTTTTAAAAAGGAAAACTTAAGTTTAACAATGATTGCTTTTTACATCTGTAATTACTGATAAATTGTATACGGATATTATTGATGTTTAACCTTTAACTGCTGTGACAGTTTTTTCCGCATAATTACTGTGAGCAGTCTCACAGACCAGTTTAAAGAAGCACGTAAAAATACATACTTTTATGCCTTTTTAAGGAATGCTATAGATACTTTATACATATTTATGGAATTATAATTCATTTAAATCAATATATTTTAAAAATAAATAATTTAATTTTACAAAGCTTAATTCATATAAAAAAAAGAATATTTTGTTCGCTTTAAGGGATAAACATTTAAAAAACAAAGATTTTATTAAACATACATGAAAATATGTGACTTTATTAAGTATTACTGTCAATTAAACCACATTATACAACATTTAATTATTAATAAATAATAGATTAGTATATTATTGTTTACAAGGGGACTCATAAGGTGATACACAGTCAAAACACATTTTTTGAGAGCCCTGAAGACACGCTGGTTCCTTGCATTCCAAGGATTTGCATGCTGTTTTCCTCTTCTTACAAGGTGGGAACAGACTACCTATTTTTCTTTCTTCTAATATTTCTTCTTGATTTGATAAATCCATTCTATTAATTTCCTTCTGTCCAAGGATTCTTCTAATTGTTATCAGACTACCTATTTTTCTTTCTTCTAATATTTCTTCTTGATTTGATAAATCCATTCTATTAATTTCCTTCTGTCCAAGGATTCTTCTAATTGTTATCTTCAGTTCCCTTGGCAAAAAAAGCGGAAGTTATCCCAACTTTCAGATGCGGTTTAATAAATTAATTAGCTAATAAACGCATAAAATATTTTTCTTTTCAATTTTGTAGCATCAGGATATGACTGGAACAATATTGTATGAACATAAATTTCAAGTATCTTCGGGCTCTGCTCTTGAGCTTATTTTTGCAGGATGTTTCAGACCGGGGAGCTGAACTATTACGTATGTTTTTGTGTTCGTACCGCCCTACTTGGTTCTTTTTTGCTTCGTTTGAAGTGCTTTTTTCCATAAAAATTATCATTTTGTTCACAGTCATTAGAAAAATTATGATATTCATCTGCAGAAACTTTTGCTTTCGCTGTGAATACTACATGATTCTTCAGAATCAGAGTATTCTACATCAAAAATATTGTTGACAAGATATTCAATTTCTTTTTGAGTGAGATATACGGGACGTTTTCTTGTAAAATTTGAAGCCATATTTATCTCTTTGTAGGGATTTATATTTATTTTAACTAATAATTTAAAGTTTTATTTGAAACTTTGCCATAAGCCTTCATTCCCCTAATTGTCAGTGCCAGAACAGTTAAATGCCGTAGCGCGCGTGAACGCATGCAAATTTTCGATGTTGAAGGAAGTAGTTTTAAAAGCCGAGTTTCGGTAGGAGAAAAGAAGAGTTAGGCTCTAGCTAGCCCGTCTCTGCCGTAGGTACATTTGTTCATTGCTGGTTCAAGTGGCTTAATTTGCATTGCTTTGCTGCCACTAGCTTAGAAGGGGGTTGAAGTTCAGGATCTCGCTGAGCCCTGTAGGTTAGTTTAGCTCTTGTTAAACATTTCAACTTTTAATTTTCAATTACTTGACTTCCAGTTACCGCCCAAGTAGAAGCGAAGTTTTGTTAGCGTCGAGTTGACGCATTGTAGATTTTAAAGAGTTAATAAAGGGTTTGAACCCTTCTTCTGTGTAGTTTCCTGCTACTCCTGTATCCAGATAGAAGTTAACCCACTTGGACTCTATAACTTTTACGAAAGACAAGCATCCGATAAATAACGTCTATCGTCCACTAAAAATGGTACCTATCTGCTGTGAGCGGTCTCCCAGACACCTTAAAATGTAAAAATCGTGATAACTGAAACCATAATAAAGAAGGTTCAGGTGCGAAGCACATTGACAACAGGCGCCTAGGTTAAAAGCCTCATCCTGTATGTAACGCATGGCGAAATTGCATAACTTTCCTACCATAACATGAGTAATGTTGGCAGAGAATTCCAAAATAAAGAATTCTCACAAGATGTTGCGATGGTGAGAGCCTTGCGTATACCACTTCCGGAGAAGGTAGACTGAATAAGAAATAGAAGGAAATTAAGCCCAGAAAATAGTCGTGAGGATATTACCTGCTTTCCTATTGGTTAGTAATGGAGGGCGTTTCTAAATCTTTTCTAATCCTCTGATTCTGCGAATTTTATGAATAGCATAGCTGCTTGAAATCATGTTTGTAGCTTTATTGCTGAATTCTTTGCCGCTCTGATTTTGCCAATACATGATATGATGGAAGTTAAGAATGAGTTGATTTTTTAATCTTGGATCCAATTAAGAGCATCGTTTAGGTCTTTCGATACCATAATAAAGAACTCAACTAAAAGTGTGAAACTGGATATGTGACCTTATGGGAAGGGTTTGAAAAGGTAGGAGGAAGGACAGGGACCCTTCTCCGTTTTTAGTGGTGGAAACGACAGTTAGAAAATCCTCAGCGCTCAGGTAGGGAACAGCACTCACAGCAGTTAAAGGTTAATTTGGTAGAAAGTGGGTAAATACTCGCAGAAAACTACAAAAAATATGCTGTAAATAATAAAAGGGAATTAATCTTATATAACTTACATACCACAAGCAACAAATAAATCTTATAGTGATCAGAATTACTTAGGTTTTTTATTGTAATATGTATGTGAAAATATGTTGCATTATAAAACTTTGAAAGTTAATAAATCTGGGCATTACTTATATTAAGTGCTAACTACTTACTTTTTCGACAGGTTTCTGATAATCCTCTGGTGAATAACATGTACTTCTCATCCCTATCTGGACAACTCGCTGAACATCTAAAAGACCTTCTTCAAACGCTCGCATGAAAGGTGTGGCATGATTTATTTTATATCCCATTAAAGTATCTAAGAAATCAAGATGGGCATCTAGATGGATTAATCCTACAGGCCCATATTTTTCCTGAAAAATTATACAAATTAGTTAAAAAGAAAACTCTCAAGATCTTCTGACAACTTATCCCTAAGCATACCACGGAAGTTTTAAAACCAATTCTTCATTTCAGCGAAGAGCCAATTTACAGCACAGTTATTAAACATTTTTATGACAATTTCCTATTGCTTATTTCGGAATATGAGAACTAAATTACAAAAGGTGACAAAATGAAGATAAAAGAGTTAAAGCTAAGTTACATCTAGGGTAATACTTACTGTAATGGAATTTCTTGTTATCTTAATGAAGTTGAGCTTACTCAAGTAAAAGAGCGTAGACTAGTTATCACATTTCTCGCAATAAAACTAAAGTTAATACACCAGAGAACAGCTCTCGACTCATCGGTTCAATCGTTCCCGGAGCTCAACACGCTCTCTCGACGATGCACTAACCGCGATACACTACGAGACTCTTTCGGTGCATTCGACGACCCCTCGGCACTCGCTGCCCGGCTTCAACTCGATCGACTCCGCACGGCTCGCTAGACGAGGCACACTCTCTGAGACACACTCTAACTGACTGCGGACCAGCAGGGTTTATATAGCTTTTGGCTTGTGTTCGAGAACATTCTGGGCTAAAACCAGTAAGAATTCGTTCCAGAAGGTTCTCCAACCGTCCATAGTATATCGCCAAATATGGCAACCCTACCTTCCCTTGCCATTTTATGGCAACCCTAAACCTGCTTTGCGGGGAAGCTATCTCACCGCGTCTATACATTTCGTAACAACATGAAAAATTTAAGTGCTATGAATGATAAAAAATTAATTATAGTGTCTCGTTGTTGAGAAGATCATTTATTTTTTGTACAAGAATATTTCATAAACGTTCTAGCTAGAATATTAATATTAGAATGTTGACATATTATTAGAATACTGAATAATAAATTCAAGCACCAAATAACCACTCAGATTTCACATTTTTTGGGGAATTACAAACAATGAGACTTTGTAAGGATTATGTTAATTTTATTAACAGTAAAATTTTGAGTTAAACCTCCTTTCCTATCGCTTCTTAATTTCAGTTTACCACTTCCGGCCAGAACGTAGTTTTAGAATGACGTCTGAATGCTAATGAGAAAGAGTGGTAATTAACCGCAAAGTTCTACTGTCTTAGTCAGAGAGATACCAGATATTCTGGATAGCACGCGTCCGCCTTTTTAGGCTACTCTTTCGTAAGCTATTATTACCCTCGGCCGTACTTTAGGCCCTTGATAGCTTCGCAGTAAATTAACGTTAAGGGGTCAACTGTGTTAGAATTTTGAAAGCTTCGGCTATATTTCTTTAGTTAAGACTAGTTTAGTTTAATTTTTAGTTTCTTAAGTTGAAGCCCGAGGGTCCCTTTATTGTACAACGCCAAGACGGAGTCTGTAATCTCATTTGAATAATACGGTCTTTAACCCTTTCAAGTTTATTCACTGTCTCACGAACTCAAGCGGTTATTCGTTTACTAGTTCTTAAGAGTCTTCACTTTTAACTGTAACTTAGAATTACACAGTGGGGAATCCTACAACTTGACATAAGTAAAGTGCATTATCTAATTTTATTCTAATTGTACCTCAAATGAGACAATTTTATTGATGATCCAGTAATTAAAACAAAGCAACTGGTAGATGCCAGTTACAATGTCTGAAAATTAGATGGATAAGTGATGTTCTAAATCATGGCTCCATTTTCCATGAAATGCAAGACATGATATAGCTCAAATGATAAATTTCATAAGCTAGATATACATAAACCTCTTTGAAGTATACCTTTTTGAAATCTAATAGCATTGAAATGAAGAAGATTAAAATATCAAACATACAGTAGAACTTGCTCGGAAAAAGATACTTGTTGAGTACTTCTTTGATATTCTTAAATACATTTCTCCTTTGTACCATTTAAAGGAAACATATTTATAAAGCAACTTGCCAACATTTTCATTTCATTAAACATGATCCTCAACATCTGATGTCGGATGAGAAAAATTATGAGCATGTTTTTTGCTAATTTATCTTAAATTTTTTTAATTATTTTAAATCTCCTTCCTTGCCGAGTACCATCGTGTGCGGATTTCGAATATCGGTGAGGGCACAGTGCATTGTTTCACCTTTCCAGCTCCAAAAGTGATAACGAGACTGTACAGTGGAGCCCGAACTAAAATTTGGCGGACGATAATTCTTCTCCACCAGGGTTTGGCAATCGGGTACCCTGCTCCGCAGTACCCCTTTAAGAAGGAGAGAAGATATTCTTTTCCTCAATACCGAGTGTCTTCGTGGTGCAAATGGAATCACATTCGGCTAACATCTGATTGCCTAGAATTTGAATACCGGCTTTGTACATTCTTCATGTTTCCTATTTCGACCAACCTAATGATTCTAGCTTAACGCTTACTACTGCAAATTTGATTACCTTTCTTTTGTTTTGATGCAATTCACTCGATAGGATACTTGGTCTTCTACGGAGGGAATAGAACAAATGAGGACATAAGAGGCAAAGACTCGTGTTATTACTTGATTCTTAGAAGGAATACTTTGTTTTCTTAATTATATGTAAGAAGCGTTGCATTATGTAAAAAGTTATTAAAATAAGGTTTTAAAAATAATTCTTATCCTACACTTTTAATTTTAGATTCTTGTGTCCAAATGATGTTTTCGTTACTAAACATCTATAATTGCTGAATTATACTTACATATACGAGTACAATACTGTTTGTACCATACAAATACCTCCAAAGATAATACAATGCATTATAGCAATGCTACACATACAGCCCCTTTAACAGTGCAAATTTAAATTCAATTTTTATTGCATAATATATTAGTTTTTATCATCACAATTGATATCAACAGTAAATCAATAACATTTGTACGACTTAATATCCAATTTAGGAAAATAATTTTTTTAAATAACTTTTTCTTGTCATCTGTTACTTCATTAATTATTCAGAACAATACAACGTTAAATTTATTCACAAAAATGACTGTTCTTTATAAAGACTTATTTCATTTATTTATTTATTTGCGATGAAATAGTAATTGAAAATTATTTGCAGAAAATTGTATATTTTATTTTTATTGCCATTATTTATTAGCTTATTAAAATTATTCATTCATATACAATTTCATTAGCATACATATACAATTCAATATACAATGATATATACAATTTCATTAGCTCTTTGTTTGCATTCATTTATCATAGATGCATATGCAAATTCTTCTCAAAATTGTTCGTAATAAATTCGAAATTTTCAATCATTAATTACTGCCCGAATTAAGATATGTAGTCTGCCCAATAAATATATAAATTAATTTGAGGTGATATTTGGCGATGCTCGCTTGCTGCCTTATAAGGCGGGAGACCAGCTCACGCGTCAGTAACTCTCAAACCTCAAAACAAGCACACAAACTAGAGGTGGGCTTCTACTTTTCATCCTTCTTTTGTTTTTGTCGATGACGGATATTGATAAGTGGATCACTGAACATCAGATTTTTAGCGAAACTTGAAAAATATTCTTAGGAAACTCACGAATCATTGAGGGAATTTTTTATGAAGTTAACTTACCGATCAAAACAGGAATGAATCATAAATGAAACGACGTAGAAAAACGCATCAAAGATCAACGTCATGCATTTCCCCCCCCCCTTTTGGACATCTTGAATTTCTCCCTGAAGAACAAACACTGAATGGTGTTGTTCACTAAGTGGATGTTAGGAAACGCTTGAAAGATAACGTGTACATAACGTGTGATACAAAACTTTTGTGATAGTGATGGGTAGTTGATGCATCAGAACAATGCACTTTTAAATTCAAGAATAATGGCCTGAGAGTTTTTAGCTTATAATTCAATTACCTAACTTCCCTGTTATCAGACTTTGTCCTCTGGGATTTCTTTTCATTCCTGAAATGCAAAACGGTCATGCAGCGGGTTGCATCGGGACGATAAAACGTGAAACGATGACGCAGCAGAGAGCCTGACTTCTAAGAATTTCCAGGGATGTTTTCAGCAATGAAAATAGAGATTAGACAAGCGTAAAGCTACAAATGAAGCTACAAGGAACTGAAGCAGAAACGAGTAGGGGGTTTATCAGACAACTGGAACGTCAACAGAAAATGCGTGTTGAAAAGACAGAAGAAGTTGCAAGTAGACGAAGGACACAAGACTCAGCATTCTCCTCAAATTCGAGTGGAAGAGTTAGAACAGAATGCCACTATATGACGAACTCAAGACGCTTCACATAACAGACAAGTCCGATCTGAAGAAGTGATGTGTATACGAGAAGACAGGCTTTGAATGAGTACAGCACGCAGGGACGTAGCTAGAGTTTCCAGCGCCCGGGGACAACTGAAGAATTTGCGCCCCTTTCTATGTGCCAAGAATGGAAAACATTTCATTAAAAAATTTCGTAGTATCAATTTGGCGCCCCTTGGATGCTGCGCCCGGGGACAGATGTCCCCCTTGCCCCACTAAGCCACTGACACTAGCTACGTCACTGACAGCACGACATTCAAGTAGAACTTTTCACAGTGCAGGAAGATGTAGATTCGATGTTTGTGTTCATCAACACAGTGTCGGTTCAATGGAAGCTTGCTGCGATCTCTGCAATGAACTCTTCTTTCCAGAAGAAAGGAATACGGAAGTCAGGTGCACTGCTGTCACAATGGGGAAATTTTAGAAGCTGGAAAAAGATATCTAGAAGAATGGCGTAATTTAATGAATAGCAGCCAACAATTTTCTAAGAGTTTGTAGGGATTTATATTTATTTTAACTAATAATTTAAATTTTAGTTCAGACTTTCCTATAAGCCTTCATTCCCCTAATTGTCAGTGCCAGAATAGTTAAATTTGGTAGCGCGCGTGACGTGAATGCAAATTCTACAGTCTAGTCCAGTCCATGCCGGTATTGCCGGTGTGTCTCGAGTAAATGAGACTTTACCGGCTCCTGATAAGTTTGCCGTGGTGGCACCTGAAAGTTGTAAGTCGTTGACCAGTGAGAGTGGAGGCTCTGAGGTCTAGGAGAAAGAGAAGGCAACCATGTGTCTCTGAGGTGGATAGCCAGACAATTTAGCTATGGAGACGGGCTGATTGAAAGCTAAAAGCAAATTCGTGAAGAATAATTCCTAATAATTAAGGTGAAAGGATATATACAAAATATAACATAAATGCAGTACAATGAAAATAAGAAAAGATCTGGGTTAGATAATAAATCTGGAATAAATACATAATATATAATATGATGAAAATTATAATACATAAACGCAAAGTTATAATACATTATATATATTACGTGGGAAAGAGTGTACCACAGAGGTGGGCCGCCCAAGGTCTCAGGTCTCTGTCTTTTTGTAGAATAGAATAGTTAAAAACTTGGAAATTTGTCATCTAAGTGCATTTAAGGGCTTTTTGGAAGAATTATTTGTTGTTTTTGTGGAGGTATCCCTTGATATAGTCGATCTCCAGGTCTTTATGCAGCATAGCATTTGAGACATAAAAATGAGCTTTCGTAATGAGTAGAAGTATTTATTTTCGATAATTTGAAGCTTTAATGATATCTTTGTCTTTGATAGTGGCTCAAACAGGGAAGACATAGCAGAGAATTGGCCGAATAATGGCAATATAGATATGGAGTTTTCTTTTTAAGTCAAGATTGGAGTATTTGCCTATGAGAGGCTTCAAGTTACCGTAGGCTCTATTGCGGCAGATGTTAATTTGGTCGGTCCAGGTTAATCTACAATTGATAGTAACTCAAAGATACTTCGCTTTGTTAATTATGGGGACTTCAGTGTTGAAAATCTTCAAATTAGAAATGATGGGCTGTTTTGATTTTCTATTTCTACTGATAATGAGTAACTGGGATTTGTCTGCATTGATAGAAATCCTCCATTTAACACATCAGTGCTCAATGTGAGGATGATTTTCTGAATTTTGTTAAGAGCAGTATTTGGGTTCAATGACTTAACGGCGATAGCCGTATCGTCTGCATAACATCGAAGAAAATTATTAACTCTGTTGTTGATGTTAGGGAAGTTGGATACACGGAAGAGATACAGAATCGGTCCTAAAATGGACCCCTGAGCAACGCTGGCTCTAATTCTTCTTTTGTCGGAGGTGTCTTTACCGAAAGATATATAAAAATTCCTATTTTTAGATGAAAGAGTAGATAAGCTGCGTCATCTCTCTAGAGAAGTTGTTAGAGATTAACTTGAAGATGAGCCCCTCATGCCAGACGCGGTCGAAAGCTTTCGGCACGTCTAGCATGAGTAAGGTGACATTCTGATTATTGTGAAGAGCAGACCTATGAATTCGGTAAGGCGAACAAGTTGTTTAGTTGTAGAAAAGGTCTTTCTGAATCCGAATTGCTCGGGAGGGTCGGTTGATGTATTCTTTCAGTCTGTTAAGAATGACTCTCTCGAAGATCTTGCCAACTCCGGGCAGTAGGCTGATTGGGCGATATCCCTCAGGGGTTCGTAATATCTTTACCTGGTTTAGAAATGCGCATAATCTTGGCTGTTTTCCAGTACATGGCGAAGTAAAACTTATCAAGACAGGAGTTGATGATTCTAGTATATTTGGTGATAATATTGAGTGGAAGATGCTTAATAGTAAATTTATTAATTTTATCGTAGCCAGGCGCTTTCCTATTTTTGAGGCGTTTGATACTATCGATAATTTCTTGAGGATTGGTGAAATCAGTATTGAGTCTGACGGATGGTCCGTTGAGGTAATCTTGGACGCAATATCTTATGTCGTAAGAAAATTCAGGATCATTAGGGAAAAATTGCTTTCCAAGATGATCTGTCATGAGAATGACCTTCTTCTTGTCAGTGATAGCAATCGTATTACCTTGTTTGATGGGATTGTTGCAAGAGGGGATACTTCTAAGCCTTTTAGCAAAGGTCCAGAAGTCATTTCCAGATTCATTGAATTTTTGGATTTTCTCATTCCATCCTTCCGTTCTGAAATTTTGAATATTCTTCTTAATAATTTTACTCATTTTGTTAAGCTCACTTTTAATTCTTGAATACCACGTGATATGCCATCTTTTCCGAAGTTTGTTTCGCTCTTTCATTTGATTTCTAATAAAAAGGGGGAGAATGTCAGGATTTTGATCAGCAGGGAGATTTTTGGTGGCATGATTGTAAGCATTTTTAATATTTGAGGTAAGCGTATCTATTGCAGATTCAATATCGTAGGTAGTCTTCAGATTTTTAATATCCGGAGGGTTCTGGGTGAGAAAATCGTGAAATTTGGTCCAGTTAGTACTATTGATGAATTTAGAATCAGAAATTTTGTTGGTGCCAAGAGTAGCAATGACCGGGATGTGATCGGACGTAAGATCGATTTTAACATCAAGATAAATAGGGATGGAGCAATTTGAAATCAGAATATCCAAGATATCGCCTCTTCTAATATTATCAGGCAGGTAAGTATAGGTCTCAGGTGCGAAGAGATAGTTTATTAATGAAATTATAAAGTGCAGTACCATTGCTGTTAGTGCGTCTGTAGGCCCATTCAGTATTCTTGGCATTTAAATCTCCAGCGAGGATAGCAGGCTTTTCTTAAGATAGAATGTCATTTAAGAGTTGTTCATTCAGAGGGTTGTTAGGTGGGTTATACATGGAGTTTATACGTGATTCCATAAGCCGAAAGGAGTACTGAAACCGTGACATGCTCTTGGTTACGGCTTCTGTTTTCTTTAATAAGACATGATTGATGAAAGTTTTTAACAAGAATAGCTGGTCCTTCGCCTCTGTGGCTTAGTCTATCCCATCGATAGCTTCTATAATTTGGAATGTCGATGCAATTGCAGGGATTTGCATGCGGCTTTGTAATTAAAGCGACTTCAATATTAAAGTTGGTTAAGAAATTTTGAAGCTCTTGAAATTTATTAAAAATGCTCTGAGCATTCCATATCATGACCTGTACGAGTGCCTTAGTGATGAGATTATGACCCATTATTAGAATTATTTTCAGAGAGTTTTCCCTGATTGGTGGTATTTAGTTGTTTCATTCGTTGAGTTATCTGGACAAATCCAGCATTTTTAATTATCGAGACTAGCTCTGCCAAATCTGATAAAATTTTTTCAGCTTCATTTAAAGTTTCGCTGAAAGTGCCTGATGCGAATGATTGAGCGTAAGATTTTCCTTCAATAATTCTGCTTTGATAAGTTTTAGGTTTGTCTCCTTTTAGTTTCGGAAACTTGCTACAACCCTTGAAACTTGAAGTGTGATTTTAGTCACAGTTGGTGTAGATAAGCGGCTTTTCCTTACTGTTCTTATCAGGGCATTCTCTGGATTCATGTGTGTTGGCACACCTGACACATCTGGGTTGGTAATTACAACCAAACTGCAGCATGTTATTAAACCCTTTGCATTTGAAGCATTGTAGGATGCCTTGGCTCCCTTTATACTCTTCTACTTTGATTACAAATTCTACTTTGAGGAGGAAAGTTTAAATACCGAGGTTTTTTAGAAGGGAAGTGAGAGAGTTGGGCTCGAGCAGTCGTCTCTGCCGTAGGTACAATTGCTGATTACTGGTTCAAGTGGCTTAAATGCATTTATCTGCTGGCAGTTATAGAGGGGGTCGAAGTTCGGTATCTCGCTGAGCCCTGTAGGTTAGCGCTTGTTAAACATTTCATCTTTTGATTTTCAATTACCTGCTTTTCAGTTACCGCTTAAGTAGAGGCGAAGTTTGTTAGCGTCAAGTTGACACAGTGTAAATTTTAAAGAGTTAATAAAGGGTTTGTACCCTTCTTTCTATGTAGTTTCCTGCTACTCCTGTATCCAGATAGAAGTTAAACCTTCTGGACACTACAAGTTGTTTGCTAAGATACGTACTTATAACTGTCTTCTTAGTTTTGCTTCCTTGGGTGCCAATATAGAAATGCATAGAGGTTCAGGTCCCTTTTGTTTTAGAATTCATGGTGCCATATATAATCAAGCAAACCACCTTCATCGATTTCATCCTGATCAAGAACACTATGCCCAGCTGTTTATTGTAGACTCGGATCAAACCCTCAGGCAGAGAATAACTATACTATGAAATGTTGCTCTGAATGCTGAAAGTGTTGACACAGTTGAATGTAGTTTTAAGGAATGTGAATCCATATGTAGAAGCCTACAAGACGCTGAAAGGAATTTGTAGAAGGAACGCTGCAAGATGCTGAAACTGCTGCTGCTATCCGTATGTACATCAAGAACGAAAGTGTTGTTATAGGTAAGCACAGAGGACGTTACCACGCTCCAAAAGAAAATGAAGTTGCAGTTGTTTTCAAGAGTTAAGATGTCATTCCTCTATCAAACAGAGATATTGTATTATGTGCAAGAGGTTTTGGTCTCATTCATATCAGTACTTTAAATCCTAACTTAAAACCGATGACGTATGCAATTTTCTTTCCTCATGGTGATCAAGTATTCAGAGTTGGACAGCGGTACGCAGAGTACCAGCTTTATAGTCGCAGTCTGTACGAAACATTGATACAACCCTATTTTGCATGGCCAAAAATTGTTAATCAAGTTGAAAGGTTTTGATTTTTGTACATTTGCTTTTCAGACGTACAAACAACTTCTAAATTTTGCTTTGGCCGCAGTCCGCTCATCTGGCGGGCTTGCCCGTTAGTATTTTATAAAATCATAACAATGATCAAATTAACTAATTAATGTGAATGCTTACATATATAAATACTTAAAACGTAAGGCATTTTATTAAACATATAAAATGTACCTTCATGGCTTGCAAAATAGGATATGTAATTGTATGATCTCCTCCCATGACTAAAGGTGTACATCCTTCAGATAAAACTTCTGATATGAATTTTTTAATACCACGTACGGCTTGTGGAATGTCGTATATATTGACGGGGATATCACCTAAGTCAGCCACTTGAAAGTGTTTAAATGGCTCGAAACCTGAAAAGATATTAAATTTTTTTAAACTGAATTATACAATAACATGACTATTTTTAATGTTTAACCAGTTTTCAGAATTGTAAAAAATTCATATACTATAAATTTAGGATTTAAATTTTTAACTTCAGCTTTCGTTTAGTGGAAGTTTAAACATTTTCATTTGCTTTATATACGAAGGGAGAAAAAAAAATATTAATATCGAGAAAATTATATGATTTAGCGAATGGAAAGAAGTGGGAAGATTCCCTCTGATCACAGCTTCCAAAATTTTTTACTGGCTTTTTTATTCGGTGCAGATATGACTTAATATCAAAGTAAACCTATCCAGTAGGTTAAAGAGAACGAAGTACAAAAGTCTTCATTAGTATTATACTGTTGGAATAAAAATCAAATTGGAATAAAAATTGCTCGTGCCAATTTGCCTCTCAGTTTGGATCTTTTAGAAGTTTTCAAAATTTTCCTTCTTAGCAACCTGTTGAGATTGATATAGATTCCGTTCCATTCCTACTACCTATGCAGGGTGGGCAAAAAACCTGTTCCGAGTTCCATTTCTCGTCATTCTGACGAAACGCTTAAGCGTTAAGCAAGTTCTACTGCATTCACCGTAATAGTAACATTTTGATGAAATTGGGATTATTTCCGATAAAATTGCAGTTCCTGGTGATTTCTTAATAGTTTGTGCTAATTTTAGGTTGAAGTCTCGATTTGCTTATTTACTATTAAACTGGGCTTTTTCAGTGGCGTAGCTAAAATTTCTTCCGCCCGGGCGATCCCTGATTTTACCTTCCCTCTTGATATACAGAAAAAAAAAAAAAAAAAAAAAAAAAGTCAAAATGCCATATAACGAAAAAATGTAAACTTTACGTTTATTTTGAAGAAACATTTAAATTGCAAAATTTTAAATTTATCATTATTAGTGTACTTTTTTTTTTTAGCTTTGAAGACTCCCAGTTACAATCCTCTACTTGACTGCTCTATTGGCTATAATGCAGACAGTATAGAAAGATTTTTTAAATTGAGAATAAAGAATTAGAGTTCTAAACTTTTTCTAAAGTGATTGAAACTCTTCCGACAACCAGCACCGCTTACAGCAAGTGTGAGAAAACTTCGCAATATTATGACAATATTTAGAACTTTCCTTTGTAGATTGTATTTTAGAATAAACTGCAAAAATTCATAAGGACCACCCTTCCATGTTTCTGTTTCTTTTCCTCTAGCAATAACGAAAATAAATCTCTTGGAATACTTCTCTCTAAATAAGGTATATTTCATTATTAATGTCACAGTGATCGTAATTTAGTTGATATTCGTAATTTTCATTAAAAAGTTTCGTCGGTGTAAAAAAGGTATGACAAGAGGTTGTAGCTATTAAAATCGTTTAGTGATTTCTCTGATAATTTCACCTCGAATTAAAGCGATTTTCTTCCCTCACCTTAATTCGGGATGCAGTTCAGAATCTCATTATTCTTTACACCTCCACGCTCCATGCGAAAAATGCCGCTTCCAAAAATATGCCACCTGGAGCGAACCACCTCCTCTGCCTTCTTCTAGGTAAGTAAGTCACTGGACCTTTTCATGTATAAGCAGTACTTTATTAGCATCCTTTTCTTTCTTTAAATTCTTAGGCTTTGATTTAAAATTTTTTTCTTAATATAAATAAATATCTTGTAAAAGCAGCAATTTTCTTTCAATAAAACAAAGAAAATGTCATTGCGTTAAAGCACAGCAGTATGAAATATTATTTTTAAAATCGTCTGTGGAAATTATTTGAATCGCATCTTGTGCTATTGAACATGATTAAATATTATAGTAATTCTGAAGACTAAAGATAAAAAAAATAATAATAAATAAAAGAGAGAGAGAGAAAATCGTAGAATCAGCCTTATACTGAATTCTTCGTTAACTAATTCTTTGCTTATTAATGTAAACGAAACGTGCAGCCATTCCTTTGCTTTCCTCACACACCTATCACAGAACGCAGAGTAGGTTAGCAACCAACCAGTAGTTATCGTAACAGTTGTTCGAGTGTGGGGGTGTAGCTCAGTGGTAGAGCGTTAGCTTTGCATGTGAAAGGCCCGGGGTTCGATCACCCGCACCTCCAGCGAGTTTCCTTTTTTTAAAATTTTGTTTCGCAATTATGAATTCTACAAAATTTTTGATTTTAGATCGCTAAAACCAAAGAACTTATCTTTCTTTCACTTAGGAAGGCTAAACGAATATATCTGATATATTAAACCGAAGCTAGTGTTAAAAAGCTCTCAGAAGCATTCCATAGTCGGGATAAAAATTATACTTTTAAATTTCGGAAGCCAAAACTATTCGTAGCCAAAATAATTCGCTTGTCAGTTTTAAGTACCTCCCGTTTTAAAACCACACATTCGATCCTACGCACCTCCAGCTCTCTTTTTTCTATTCAGAATTCTGTAGTACAATTATTTGAATTTTACAGAATTTTAAATACATACATATTTTATTTTATGTTACAAGATATATATATATATATGTTACAAGATCTTACTTCGTATATCTCATTTTTATGAAACGTTCAGTTTATGGTCCCCCCCCCCTTAAAAAACGCGTGGAGCACAAAATCTTTTCTTAATACACAGAGAGTATATTTACAACTCAGTATTTTTCCTTCAACGTCATTTAAAGTCAAAAGTGAATTTCCCCTTTTTCTGCATTTTTTTTCATAGTTTCAGTTTAGTATGTGTTGCATTTAGAGTTTAGTTTAGTTTAGTTAGTTTAGTATGTGTTGCAATTATGAGATACTGCAAAATTAAAGCATTGATTATTCAGGATCTTCGAACGAACGTCACGACTAAGCTCGATTGTATTGATATAAATATTGTTGTTCTTATGTATACATTAGAAACATTGCTATGGCGTATGTTAGGAAACATGTTGAAAAACACAAATACGTGTCACCAAGAAAATTTGAGCCTTTTCTTTCTGTTCCTTTTTTCAAAATAGGTTAAATAAAGGTTATATTAAGATTAAATTAACTACAGTCAGTCTTATTTTATCAGACATCCGGTATAAATAGAATTATTTTCTCAGGATGTAAAGTATCACAATTTTTCCCCTGGGTACAAAATATAATAATTTTTGAAACGCAGGATATTTATTTAAATAAAATGCGATAGAAAGAAAAAGTAAAATGTGTTCACTTAAACTACAGTAAATAGATTCTAGGAGTACCCCCCTCCCCCCCAAAAAAAAAGTCTAATTACTTGGAGCTTTTGAATATCCGGATGATTTATTGTTGTAATTATCTCGGGTACTTAGGACTGTATGACATATTACAAACATAATTTTTATATGAGCCAGATAATTTCACATAATTCGCTTTATTGGTATATTTAATTTATTGTAGTAAAATAGAACTGAACTCGCAATATCTTGAATACAGCGTGACCTAGCAAGTTTGAACTGGAGTTATAGTTCATTTCATTACAATTTTTCAAAATTGTTGAGGTTGCACATAAGATTTCTTCACTGAAATGCTTGGTACTCAATCAGTAAACAGCATTTCTGATAATGGATACAAACGTTAAACTCTATGGATCTTTATAAATACCTTTTTGCTAACAGGTACATGCTGGTAATTTTTGCATAGTTACAAAAGAGAACTTTTTTTTACTTAACGTGATTTTCATTAATAAATAAATCTTTAATTCAGAAGTCAAACAACAAAAATCAGCGTTATATTTACAAAATTTTCACAGGACTAGTTTCGATGGTTTTACCGAACCACCATCTTCAGCTGCAAAACCGCAAATGAACCAGATAGGAAATAATGATTAGATAAGATAAGAAAGCCTGGACAAGAATAAGCAAGTGGCGCCATCTGTTGGTGAAACCAGAACTAAAACATAATTTCCTTAAAGGCCGAAGGCAAATTTGGATTGAAATTAGGATCGTTAACTAGAACAGAAAGATTTTTATGAATGCGAAATTCCTCTAGAAAATCCAGTTCTCCAATGGAAAATGTTTTTTGAATAATTTTGGCAGCAGAAAAACTTAAAGTGTGGTTTTCGGACCAACAATGTTGAGCAACAGAAGACTTCTGTGTTTCCTTTTTTCTAACATGTGCCTCATGTTCCTTGACGCGAAATTTTAAGGCTCTCTTAGTTTGGCCAATGTAAATTAAACCACACTGGCAAGGAATCCTATAAATACCCCAGGAATTCACATCCGGAATGGAGTCCTTGAGTATGGAACTCGGAATTTTATTGTTGGGAGAATAAACAACCCGAAAGTTAAATTTCTGCAAAATATGTGCAACTTTATAGCTAATGGATGGAAAGAAGGGTATGACAACAGAATTTTTATAATCTCCTAAAACAAGAGTGTGCCTTTTACTGTGTTGAGATGAGAATTTTTTAACTGCTTGATTAATAATGTTCGGTGGAAAGCCCCTGACAATAGCCATTGCTTTTAAATAATTCTCCCATCAATAAAATTCCGAGTTCCATACTCAAGGACCCCATTCCGGATATGAATTCCTGGGGTATTTATAGGATTCCTTGCCAGTGTGGTTTAATTTACATTGGCCAAACTAAGAGAGCCTTAAAATTTCGCGTCAAGGAACATGAGGCATATGTTAGAAAAAAGGAAACACAGAAGTCTTCTGTTGCTCAACATTGTTGGTCCGAAAATCACACTTTCAATTTTTCTGCTGCCAAAATTATTCAAAAAACATTTTCAATTGGAGAACTGGATTTTCTAGAGGCATTTCACATTCACAAAAATCTTTCTGTTCTAGTTAACGATCCTAATTCCAATCCAAATTTGCCTTCGGCCTTTAAAGAAATTATGTTTTAGTTCTGGTTTCACCAACAGATGGCGCCACTTGCTTATTCTTGTCCAGGCTTTCTTATCTTATCTAATCATTATTTCCTATCTGGTTCATTTGCGGTTTTGCAGCTGAAGATGGTGGTTCGGTAAAACCATCGAAACTAGTCCTATGAAAATTTTGTAAATATAACGCTGATTTTTGTTGTTTGACTTCTGAATTAGTATTTATTCGGCGTGTTATTGTGTCTTAAATAAATCTTTGCTATTAGAAAACTGAATGGTAATTCCAAGTAAAATTGCTTTAGCACTATTTAACTTTTACGATATTACACTTCTAACTCAAACTCAAAGTTTTTTTCTATCTAATGTCTAAACAATTCTTAAATTTTTTATTTCGTACCGAATATTAATTTATATTTTTGCCCTTGGAGTTAAAATTTTAATTTTTTCTCGAGCCTTTGAACAGTCTATTTTTCTTCACAGTACTAGTATCTGCTTGTGTCTACACAAAAGCTGTTATTATTGCTAAGCTTTAGGTTCTGCCATGATAAGAATATTTAAAAAAAAAAAAAAAAAGCGACATCTTTTTCTTCACGCCCGTTAGTACAATGAAAGGTGAAAAGATGGAACACAGAATGTTTTTTCAAAGATGTGCATTTTACTATTATCTTACCTGTACTTGCATTGCATCTATTCAGAAGAGGAGATTCAGCTCTGATTCGCCGAGGACCGAAACGTGCACCAGGGCGATTTGAGGTTCCACTGTCAAAAGGAACACCCAAAATTCCAACATCTAAACCTGTAAATAATTTAATACATTTTCCATTTATATTTCTGTTAAAATTTCTTCTAGACTTTCTGCCATGATATATATATTTTCAATTTAGCGTGTTGATATTAATTATCTTAATCTAATTGGACTCGATTTATCTCTATTATTATTTCCATGATATCTCTCTTGAATATTAATGCAAGCCTGGAATATTTCCCGTGTGCTTTAAAGATATGCATCTATTTATTTCATAAGACTTGAGAAAATTTTACAAGTTTTTTATTGTCTAAAAAAGGAGGGGCGAGAGAACTCTAAAAAGAACTGTAATAATAAGCCATCCATTAGGCTGACATTTTATATGAATGATTTTAAATAATTCATATCATTCACATCAAACGAAATACTCGAAAATAATAATAATATTTTTTATAAATGGAACTTTGAGCAATAATCGATAATTGGGTATGTTTATACAAAATAGAATAAATTTTTATGACGTTTACTTGCCAAAAACGTTCAGTTTTAATCAAAATGCACAAAAGAGCAGTTTCTTCCTTTTCCTATTAAATTGTCAATGCCAAGAGAAAATGCCGTATGAAATACTATTTGATGTCTAATATCAAAACAGTGTATGATTGTGCCATTTAAATTAAATGCCATGAAACCTTCTGAAGGAGAAGGTAACAAAAATGTAGAATAAAATATTGTAATGAATCTAATAGAGACTTTTGAGGACAATCGACAGTTATTTTATCGGTTATAAACTTGCTAAAGAGTTACTGGGAATTGGAACTTTGCAAAAATAATTATTTTGTTCCGTTTGAGTTTCAGTACCGAATGGTTGACGTGCTTGCTTACCCTACAGTGAGATTTATCTGGCAGTAATTAATGATTTTTTTGATTTCATATATTTAAATCCCTCTTATAGCGAAAATAAACTTGCTATAAGTATTTCCATCACACCCCCTATATGTTCTGTACCTGCATTAATTGTATTTTGTTTAATATTTTTTAAAAATTATTTCAATGTGTATATGTAGCGTGCATATATGTATACTAGAAAGCCTGGCGGTCATACGAAATGACCGCTTTTCTAGATATTATAAATTGTAATTAAAATGATTTTGTGCAAAGGTGTCTGCTAATTCAAACTGATTTACACAAGGCAGGCGGCGAGGACGCCCTTTTGCTTACTGCCCCACAGGGTTTCCCTCTTCTACTTGCTTAATTGCTTAAAGTAGAGTGCAATGAAGGAAACCATTGGCGGTACATTTCTTAAGAGCCACCGCTAGCTCAATAAATAAAGGTGATTTAAATAATAAAATGTTAATTCACATGTCAAAGATCTCTTTATGTGCAACATTTCTTGTGTAGATCTTTTCATCATTTTCAAGCTCGCCTTGCAGAGGACCATCCATTATTTTTAATTTTACGTCCGTTCTTTCACGAACTCTTAAACAGGCAACATAAAGTTGACCGTGTCCAAATGCAGGCTCAGGTAAAAAAATGCCAACACTCTTAAGCGTTTGGCTCTGAGACTTAATTGAGGTTCATAGCAAAGGCAAGTTTTACAGGAAATTGTCAACGTCTCAATTGAAACGGCAACTCTGTGCCGTGGCAACTTCACCTCATTGGCTAGTACAGTTATGCAAGCAACCCATAAACTATCGGCGACAAATGGACACTTAAGCCGCATATCATAAAGATATTTATTTATTTCATTTTATTTGTTTTTTCATCGTTGCCGGTTTTTGCCAGTTGCATATTTCCGAATTCTATTATATACAGATGTTAAATTTATTTATTAAATGTTAAATGCACGTACTCTTGTATTTTTACTTTTTCTGACTTAGCTTTCTTATAATATTCGTCACGCGCTGCACTGCAGGGAAATAAAACTGTTCCGTGCCTTTTTAAGAAAGACACGGTAAGAAGAATTTGAATTTTCTAACCGACTAACCCATCTCAAATATTTTAACATTGCGTTGTGTTCACTAATGGAAAACGTAACAACCCTAATTAGGCAACTGGTGAAAGACATGAACTAATTAAATAAAACATACAACTTAATTAATCCAAAGAAAATATATAAGTTTATTGAGTCTAATAATATAGCATCAAATATTAATGGTAGATACCATAACCAGACAGAACTATTTTTTAACAGAAAAAATTGTACCTTCTTCAGAGAGGGGGGGGGAATTAACATTTAACAGTTAACCTTAACATATACTGCAACTTGACAAATACTGTAACCAATTTATTTTAACACAGGCTATTTGAGAACACATTCATACTTTGGAAACAGAATTACTTAATTCAATTGAACATTTGCAAATTAACAAGCAAGCTAGGTAAAATACCGGGTGCAATTTCTAGAATTTAAACTTTTTACAAGCACCAAATTTATTTTCTTTACTATGGTTTCTAGAGACCATTTAATTACAATAATCGGGAAGATGCAGAATTTTAATCAATATTGCACATAATTACTCGTAAAATTTTCACCTACACTATTAATATTCCATAACCGGAAAAGATGGAAAGGTTATATTACACACACACACACACACACACACACACACAAAAATCATTAAAAATAAAATATAATAGAACACAACTTTATCAAGATTTCTAAGACGAGGCAGTGAAGTAATTTAAGTAAAATTCATTTTTGCGAACTGAGCCTGAAAGGTTATTATATACATATTTTTAATTTTCTCAGCCTAGGAACATCAAATAAACCTTAACTAATTAAATTTTTTTCTTCTTCTTTCTTCTAAATTAAATTTTTCTTCTAACAAGTCATTAGATTCATCGACGGTTGGCTGAGGAGACAAAGAGCTGAGGTTACACTAAAATAACAATTTCAAGAAAAAGGAGAAAACTTCCTGAAGACGACGCAGTCAGCAGGGAAACTGAACGGTCATATGTATACAACCTGGGGGAAATTGAGCTCCGGAAAATACTTAAGAATGAAGTTTTTCAGTCCAGAAGAATACAATAATCCCGCAAGCTTCCTGAGGTTTGCGTGAGGCAACATAAAGTTGAGAAAATTTTATAAGTTTTTTTGTTGTCTAAAAAAGGAGGGGCGAGAGAACTCTAAAAAGAACTGTAATAATAAGCTCATATAAATAATTGACCAAAAATACCAATAATTAATTGAACAAATACATGTTGTGTAACATAAAATTTATAATATGCATGGTCGGGCCAGGAGTGCAAACAAAGATCTGACAGGAACCCATAGATGTAGATTTGCCATTATTGGATGGCCAATTATTGCTCGGGAGAGACCAATTGGATCAGGAGCCATCCCGTCAATTTCCTGAAGAAATACCCGCATGATGAATGAAGCTCCAGTGAAACGTGTATAACTTAGATGGTGAAGTTTAAGAATAGCTATGGCAGTGAACTAATGCAGCTCAGGATAATCAGATTAGCTATGGCAGTGAACCAACGAGAAGTCGTTGCAGTGAACTATTTCAGCTCAGGATAATCAGGTTTTGGTGTACTAAAGCAGATGTCACATGCCAAACAAGGAATAGCCGGATATGAAGTCTCGATTGAATTAGACGAATGTAGATCACTCATATTGCCGATGAAAATCGTTGTGCAGAATAAATATCAAAATGCAGTTACTTTAGGAAACAATCGAGTATATTGAATAAACTAGATCGGGTGAAGATTTATACAGGCCGCAGGAGCGATCGCTCCGTAGGTACGGCGTGCCGGATCACCGCCATTTTCGAAAAAAACATATTGTACGAAAGCAGGCTTCTCTGTACTGCCGGTCAAGAGAAGTGACGAAAAAGTGTCCTTCGCACCGAAATCAGCCCGTTTTAGATGCGACGGGACAGCCAACTTGGCTAAGCCCACGGCCGCAAAAATGAAAAAAACCTGTTGTCGAGACTCCAACCTTACGCCATGCAAAATTTCACCTATTTCCAAAACATTGAACTAAAAGCGAAACTTAATTCTCGCCAAATACTCGCCAAACGAAAGCCACGCCTAAACAACTGCAAGTGAAAAATATGGCAACCATACCCGCTACCTCAAGAAGACTTGTCCCAAGTCCAAAAGCAATTAACTCAGATTTTTTCGTTAAAAGTGCACATTTTTTCGTTAAAAGTGAATTCCTCCCCCTTTTAAGCCAAACAATGGGTTTTGCAAGTATTACGTTAAATAAATGGCTATAACTTAAATTCTGTTGAAGGTAGAATTATGAAAGTAGTCTCAAATTAAAGTGCTAATTTTTCTGCGTCTATTAATATTAAATTTTAAGGGTTTAACTTAAGTCATGAAAATCGTAGTTTATTACGTGAAAATTTACCAAGATCCATTGTGTGAGTAATCGCGAATACAAGCAAGAATGAATGACGCTAGCTAAAAATTTTCGGGCAAGCTCATATAAATAACTGACCAAACAATACCAATAATTAATTGAACAAATACATGTTGTGTAACATAAAATTTATAATAATTAATACATTAAATTTTGATAGCTGTAATTATATTAATTACGTTAATTTGTTACACAAAAAAAAACAGTTACCCAAGCAGCCAATTAACTATCGGCGACAAACAGATGTTAAATTTATTTATTAAATGTTAAATGCACGTGCTCTTGTATTTTTAATTTTTACGGCTTAGCTTTCTCATAATATTCGTCACGCACTGCACTGCACGGGGAATAAAACAATTTACAGTTACGCAAGCAACCAATAAACTATCGGCGACAAACACTTCAGCCGCATATATATAAGATAGATATGTAATTTTTTACTGCTCTTTAGACAAATGTCATGCACTCCATTTAAATCTTGAATAATTGGGTTTATTACCTTATTTAATGAATTACTTAAACTTTTATATTAAAAACTGAGTTAATTGCTTATCGTCTTCCTTAACGAATTACACGTTTGCAAAATTAAGAGAATTTACAAATGATGTCTATTTTTATGAAAAATATTTTCTCTTCACCACTTCATGCTTTATAATCCCATCTCAATCTATGCACCGGAAGA